TGGCATCTTGTCCCACCTCTCTTCCTCTGGGATAAAGTAATTCTCTGCGCAAACCAAGCCGAGCGAAATGTCAGTCGCACGCGCGCGTATTCAGAGACGGGATTCGCACGCACGCGCGCCAAACTCACTCTTCATGTCCATGTTGTGAACACCAGCACCGCCGCGTTCCTCTTGCTCGTCGCGCTCGAGTTTGCGCCTATTGGGATCCTCCTTGTCGTACTTTTTGCCCGCCACAAATCCTTCGGGAATGAACGGTTTCCTCTGCAGATCATCTCTAGCCTTAGGTTGAGCGACGTGCAACCTGTTTGTGATGGAGTTGACCTTGCCTCCTCTGGACTTGGCTTCGATTCTGGATTCCAGCAACGCGTCGCAAGCGGCATTTCGAGCCGACATGACTCCCTCTTCCGTAAAGGTGCTGATCTCTGCAAGCTGCACCTTGCCATCGCTCTCCTCTACAATTTCCCGAACCAGCGCTGCTCTGGACGGTTCGAGAGATTCGAGCTTGACTACGTCGATCTTGTTGATGACGAGCATCGTCGGCTTGTTGGCAAACAGCGGCTTGATGGAGTGGTACAGCGCCACTTGAGCTTCAACGGTATAGCCGCACTGTTCGCTCAGATCCATAAAGTAAAGCACTGCGGATCTAAGATGAGCAAGAGCAGTGATGGATTGCATTTCGATCGTATTCATCTCCTCTAGCGGATGATCCAAGATGCCCGGCGTGTCGATGACTTGCCAGCGCAAATACTTGTAGTCCATGTGTCCCACAAAGAGCGACTTTGTGGTGAATGCGTAGGGCTGCACATCCACATCTGCGCGCGTAACCTTGTTGATGAAGGATGACTTGCCGACATTCGGATAGCCGCAGATGAGCAGCGTACGCGTAGATGGATCGATGGCTGGTAGACGAGAAATGTGCTGCCTGACCTGCTCCAAGTACGCCAATGGGTCCTTTTGCCTCCTCATGATCGTAGCCATGCTGTGGAACAATGGGTCAGCTTGTGCTTGCAAGATCACGCAAAAGATCTCGCTTCCACTCACCGGCCCATGGCTGCACGCTTGAGCTGCTTGGTGCGGTAGAGCGAGTCACCAAACTTGATGAGGCGCGTGTAATCCTTTGCCACCTGATCGATGAGGTGACGGGCAGTGTTGAGCTGGCCAAGTGCCAGCTTGTAGTGGTTCTTGTCGTAGAGGACGCTGTTGGAGGGGTAAGCAACGAGGGGTTGAGTCAGCATGTATGCGGTGCGAGGGGTGGCATGCTCATACGGTCACTCACTTCATCAGAGAAGAGGTGAAGGGGTGCAAGTTCTACCCACAACATCAACGCATACAAGCGGCGTCAGCTTGAGCTACACGGGGCGTACGACGCGAGCTCTTTGGCAACTCACATCGAGGATGGGAAAGTCTGTGAGGATGGCATCCAGCTTCTCTACAAACGCATCTCTGGTGAACATGACTTTGCGCATGTAAAAGGATCGAATGCGCGTAATCTTCCATCCCGGATGCACCACCGTGGGTGTTCTCCTCTGCGTCTTGGACAGCACAATGTCCAAGAATTGTGTAGCGCTAGGCACGGGCGCCATACTCGCTTTGAATGTCGCCATGATGTATACCTGTGCGCTGGAGGCCAGTCGCTGTGTTCGAGATAAGGTCAAGGTGCTGCGCTCAAGCTCAAGCTCAGACGCTGGAATCGACCTTTGGCTCGGGAGCAGCGGGCTGTCAGCGTCGTGATGGTGTGCTGAGGGTCGGCGGTGCGAGCAAGGAAGGGCAGGGCGACTTGCTGACTTTTGCGCTCGTGCGGTGTTGTTCGCGCGGTGGTGATGGTAGAGATGGTCTGAAGCAGGCAAGCAAATCTCACTCAGAGGCTGGCGGCCAAGAGCATCTACTGTATCTGTACCTACTGCTGCTGCTGCTGCTGCTGCTGCTGCTGCTGC